GACAATTTACCTAGATTTTTTATGTGAATCAAATATCTAGACTGTATATGTAAATAATTTACATATAGTTGGTTCTTTTCTTTTTCTTTGTCCTAAAATTAATTTACCTGCAATTTTTATCTCCTTTAATTTATATATTTTTACTTTGACAACAATTTTTTTTATATATTTTAAAGTACAATAATTTACCTCTATATAATATGGACACGTTGTGATGGTAAATTGGAATTCGAGAGCCAAACTAACCAACAAATCCCTACATTTATATGAAAAATATTATTTTTGTAAAATCATTAATTCTCCCTTACAATTTGCATAGAATTAATTGTGTACATTAAACATTCAATAATGGTGTTTTAGGCATCCAAAATTTTTTAAATGGGTAAAGTCAAACATAATTAATGAATTTGCTTATGTGGAGTCTAGTCAATGGATTTTATTTGAGCAAAAAATTTACGTTGGGTTTTATGTGGAGAAAATTGAGTTTCAGGGGCTAAAGTCATATTTTTAGTAAAGTTAATACTAGTGACAAAGGTCAATTAAGATAACCAAATTTATTCGCACGACCATATGATCATTTCAAACCTAGTTTTTTAACATGGGATGCCATTTTTCTTTTGGACTGCAATTGATCCAGAAAGCATCTCTATGCAGTCTCTCAAACAACAGATAAGCAATACACCAAAATTGTTTAATTGTCTAAAGAAATCCAAGTGCGGAACTCGAAAGAGTGGGCTAACTAATTTTTGTAGGGTGATATGATGCCACTAACAAGAATCTCGACGACAAATCAAAGAAAAATGAGGAGAACATGCAGGGTTTGGGGTTAAGAGTTAAAAACACTAGTGTTTACTACGGGATTGTGTATCTTAATTGAGTAAAAAATTAATCTGGGATGAATATTGGCTACAAATTTTAGTGAAGAATGAATTACTATTTTTGGGTGAATATATAGGATTGTGCTATTGCCACATCTATTTTTACTTTCGACACACTTTTGTTAATTTTTTGTCGTTGATCATCTTCAATTCGTTCAAGCTGATGGCCGAAAATTGAGAAAGTATATGAAAAGTTAAAATGTATATGTGAATATTACTACCCAATATATTTGGAAGTTATTTATTTTTCAATAAGGTTACCTGGGTTATAGCCCATGGTAGCGTTAGTGTAGTTCCGCCAATGGGTATATGAGTATACTTACGCATAGGGTGATCTGAAGAGGATCTTATTCCCGATATTACAAGGAATTCATTTTGGTTTTGCCCTAATTAAGGCCACCAAATAGTCACGGCCGTCATAAATTTATACGTAATGATCAAAATCTCTACCATTTACTCTTTCATTGACTAAGCAATGATTAATCACATTACAAACATACATAAGATGTGTTACGTAAAGAAGAAGGCAGTACTTAATCTAGTAATATTCTATTCATAGTCCTATCAAAAGATGTCTTAAATTCAAATTCTTGCGGTCACCTGAAAATTATGTTTGGTGGTACTAGATAGTTTATTGTCAATATTAAAATTGATCTGATAGACTGATACTCAAAATTTTAAAATAGAGAAAAGTTGCAGATATAAAGGAAATGTTGAAAGCTGCAGATCGCTCTCTGGCATGTTTGTCTGTGACGGGAGTTTTCGTCGTTTCCCCGTTCACGTTAAATTCTCTGACTTGACAGTGCCAGGTATATAATTAATAAAAACAACAAAAATAATTTAAATAGCTCCAAATTAAGCTCAGCTGGAATAAAATAACAGTCAACCAAGAAATGATGGATTTTTGTCCATTGTCATCGGCATAATACATAACACTCTCATGTAATCTGCATGCATGTGACATTGCAACTTTTTTCCAACCCTATCCAAACCCTACTTGGCTTTGTTTGATCCTTCTGTTTTCCTGTTTTTTCTCTCCAAATGTTTTCCACCTTTCAGTCATGGGTGATGACTCATTTTATTAACGTGTGGTCGAGTTTACGTATTTGACTAGACTTACAGATAACATTTTCATTTAGGTGCTGAGTTTACACGCGTGACTAAAGAAGAATGAATCAATATAATTACTCAAAATGTGTTGAATGAAAAAGCTTGTTTATTTATAAGAAAAGAAAAATTGTTGATTAATGGAAGAGAAATCACAAACAAAACATGATGGACAAAATGTTGATCGACCAAAAAAACTCCAAAACCACCTATAAACGGAAATTTATTTTCTTAGTTAGATGTGTGAAGGCTTAAGGGATGGTTTGGGAGTGAGATGCTTAAAAAAAAAACACCCATGAAAAAAAGTTATGAGGGTTTTAGGTGTTTGGTAAACTGAAAAAATGGCTTATTTTGGAAGCTGCTGTGAGAATAAGCTGAAATCAAAGGAAAAACTGAAGCTGCTATTTGCAGCTTTGGAAAACTGGTTTTTTTTCAAAGCACACGGAGCTACAGTGTTCCTTAATGAAAAGACCCACTATCAGAGTGCTTTTTTTTCCAAAAGCACTTTTACAAAAAAGTTTACCAAACACTCTGCTGATTTATTTCACAACCGCTTATTCTCAAAGCACAACCACTTATTCTCACAGCAGTTTTTTTTCAAAACACAGCAATACCAAACCAGCCCTTAATTTGCTGTTGCCAAATATGAGTGCTTTCGAATCCCACTTTACTCCCTAAAATTTATTTTAACTCAACTTACCCCTTAAATTATATTTTCGTGTTCCATTTTGTCACATGTTGTTAAGTCCGTAAAGTTTTCCATCCAAAGTGTTAATGTGGCACATATGGGCCTCATTAGTTTGATTATTTGCTTGGCAAGTAGGCACCACATGTCCTAACAAGTGATATTTTAAAACTATTTTAAATAAGAATAATGCTTGTGTCCTCCTTAAAAAAGAACTTACATGTCCTCTCACTTAAGATTAATGTATCTTCAACGTATGAACATTATAAGGCATGTAACCATCGGTCTATGTACTATAATCAGAAAGCAGGAGAAAATGAATGTGCATTGTTCTTTCCCATAAGAATTGGGAAAATAGGTTTTCTATGTAATCCCAATTAGTTTAGGTTAAGAGATAAGTTAGTTTTCCCTATTTTAAAAGGATTCAAAAATCCCATCGGTCTATATATTAAACTTTTAGGGGGTTGTTTATTCACACGAAGAGTAGAGAGAAAGCAAGATTTTGAGGTTTAGCATAAAGATTTTCATTAAGTTCTTATAATCGAACTATTACTCTTTATTGTGCAGGTGATTTCTCAAGGGAGATCACACAAGAGTAGGCAAAGTTCATTGAACGTCGCTAAGTTCTTTGTGTTTGTGTGGCATAGTTACTTTATTATTCATAAATTCGCACAGTATCACCTTATGAGTCTGTATAACACCAGAGGCTATGTTAAACACGATCAACTAAGAAAGGATTAAAATCTACCAACACTAATATCATGTATTAGTTGTAAGAAAGAATCTAACGTGAAAAACAGTTTTTGTCGGGGTTAAAATGCGGTGCAAATGTAAAAACACAATGAAAAGGAGGTTACCAACGGCTTGTGCAGAAATTGAAGGCCTGCCTTCCTTTTTCTTCTTTCGTATATATTGCATATGTCACATTGTCACGGGCAGCTTACACCAAAGAATATCATTTTGAATATGTTCCGTTAAATCATTCATTACCAATGCAAAATGATAAGGACTTAAGGATGAGCCTTGATGTAACCCAACAGTTATGGAGAAGCTTTCAGTTTGTCCTTCATGAGTTCTTACGGCAATCTTTGCTCTATCATATATATCATTTATAACTTGGATATATGATACTCGTACTCCTTTCTTCTCTAAAATCCTCCAAAGAATGTCTCTTGGGACCCTATCATACGTTTTTTTCCAAATCTATAAAGACCATAGTTCAGTTGAATATCAGAGTGCGCAACGAATAAGACTAACAAATAATAAGAATATTATTAAACAAACTGAGAATGCCGAAATGACTACAAAACCCTAAGAGACTACATTGTGGCTAACTTGTTCTCTAATGAATAATAAAGCACCATATTTATAATAAACTAACCCTAATCTCTAACAAAACCTAATTTTAACGGGTTAAGCCCATAAAACCAAACATTCAAATAAACCAAAATACTAATATTTTCCAATACCCCCGTCAAACTCATGGCGGTACACGATATGAGTTTGCCAACAAGCAGATGTGGATGCAAGCCTTCAAATTCTGCTGCCGATGCCGATGCCAATTGCGAACTTCCGAACAAACTGATACGCAGCGGACAAACGGATGAACAAATTGATACCCATCCAGAACAGATTAAATTCCGAAGAATCGAACTTGCTCTGATACCAAGTTGAATATCAGAGTGCGCAACGAACAAAACTAACAAATAATAAGAATATTATTAAACAAACTGAGAATGCCGAAACGGCTACAAAACCCTAAGAGACTACATTGTGGCTAACTTGTTCTCTAATGAATAACAAAGCACCCTATTTATAATAAACTAACCCTAATCTCTAACAAAACCTAATTCTAACTGGCTAAGCCCATAAAACCAAACATTCAAATAAACCAAAATACTAATATTTTCCAATAAGTTCATGCAATTTCGTACGCCCTCATTAGCTTAATACCCCTATAGCTTAATCTACCCTCATACATGAGTTTAAATTCCTATCTTACAAGTTGCTGTCAATTTAATCATATTCATAGGTCCAATCCCATCCAGCCTACCAAACAAGCCCCTGGCGATTGCCTAATAGAACCCTAGAAAGTTGTTTGTGTGACAAGGGTAACACAAAACCCAATTCTATCAAGTCCTTATATCTCAATTCATACACTATATGAAGCCTATGCCAACTACTCTTAAATAAGCCCTAATCCGATGCAAAAACATCTAAATCCCAATATCTCCATGAAAAAAGTCCTTCCAAAATTTCACACTTAGTCCAAGATCTCGTTGCCATCGATACGACGCCGTAAACATCCAAATTGGATGCTCAAACACAGATTTTGGTTGACTGCAAAAGTACATATGTATTGACCACAAATGAAAATGTCTCTTCTACCTCCTTTCACAACCCATAAATTTAAGCGGGACTTCCCTTAAAAAATATACTCCACAGGGCAGTATCTATAAACGATACAGGATTGCCTACTGGCATTTACAAATCATTCCGCTATTTAACTACATTCAGTTTCACAAATTTACTATAACATACAGAAAATGATGTCCGCAACCCTGTGAAGCGGCCCTTTGTTCAGTCTTTCGATCCAATAGATGTTCGCGAGAGAATGCCTATGCTGTCCATGTGTCAGCACTAAAAAACCTGGATTCGCAAAGTGCAAACATACCATTAACAGTTTAGAAATATAAGACAAGAAGTTATAGGTTTTCAATTTTCTCAATCCAAAACCAACAAGACGAAGCCACCACAACCCGGTGAAAATCCGGTCAGACTGCTCGCAAATTTTCATTTGAATATATCTATTTATGAACAAGAATAGTTTGTCCAGGAAAATTCACAGGATTTCTTTTGAAGATTATATATGGAAAATAACACATGGAAGAAAACGTACCTAGGTAACCGCCAACTTGACATTAGCAGCCTCATAAGAAAGGGACGGCTCACACAGCACAAAAATCTACAAAGAAAAGAAACAGGCGGTAGAAAGAAATTAAATTCTTGTTTCGCCCAGTCCGTTATAGTCAAGCACATAGTATTGCTGCACAGAAAATGATAGAATGTTTCTGCATAGCACTGTAAAGCAAATAAATAAATTTGTCCATCTAACAAGAAATGATAAATTGAATTATCAGCTGTTAAATCATCTCTACAGGAACTATCTACACTCAAAATCTTCCCCAAAGCAGCCTCCCCTACAAAAAATCACTTTGAAAGGGGTTTATAAAGCCAAACCTTCCCTAAAGTATCCACTCACTTCATTTCTTCTAATTATAATAGGACGAACGACGTGAAAGCTACAACCAACTCCACTATAAAGATAGGTTCTTTCAGCAAACAAAACAAGTACCAGTTCATGGTTCTATATTTGTGTGGTATGCAGTTCATTGAGGGTACGGTATGATGGATAAAGAAGCGGAAGAAAAAATGGTCAGTAAACTGTAAACTGGAAGAAAAAAAAAATCATCTTGAACAAATTTAAAAAAATAAAATAAAGTAATGTTGGACCAATAGCTCTGAAAAAGGTGGAAATACTAATTAAAGAATGTTGATACAACCTTAAACTTCCAAATGAACGGCAGAGTCAAGCTTCAAACGATTTAGTCGAGCAGTCCCCAAAATGTACTCAGGTAACTCTGCGTGCTCCCTTGCCTCTATTAAAATTGCAAGGTCAACCACTATGCTCGTGACATATCCAAGGACAAGTCCAATGATACTCCTTGCCACAGATGATGATCCAATATCTACATCAATCTCTAGGAAATTGTCTTGTCTGAGATATTTGCAGGATACAGCTTTCCCCAGTAGGCAAGCTTTAGTTCCAACAGCACGCTTAACCATCCAATATCCTTCAGCAATACTTGGAATTAACTTTAATCTTGCATTGCGAAACATGTCACTCCCATCCACAAACTTAGCAAACAAAGAATTTGGATTTGGAGGTCTGTCAGCAGCATAGTAAAGTACCAAACTATAATTTGGTTTAGATGGAACCTGGAGATTAAAGACTAGTACAAATGGAAGCTTCTTTCCGGCTTCTGACTGGACAAGGCACCTGGGATGCAGTGCGAACCTATCTATGCTTTTATCAACTTTGAACCAATCTACCGCTATGAGCTTGAGTAGGGGATCTCCTCCCATTACCTTAGAATTGTCCTCCAGGTAGTTCTTTCCTCTGATCATAAATCCCTCGCCACTTGGAGATGTCCAACAGTTTGTGACGGTCTCATCCTTCCCTTTGGACAAGGAACCATGGAACTGGCTTGGATCAATAATGATTGCAGGCACTCTGGAATCAAATTCTTTATTAGCATCTGCAGCTTGAGCTCGCTTCAAAGCTAAGCTAGCGATGGCCCATGCAACATTCTTCAGTCTCACTTTTGCTTCCTTATTCTTATGTTCATCACTGTCGCTCTCTTCATCAGAAGATGAAGAGCCTGCTGAAATTGCATCATAAAACTCATCATGCACTGTCTCAGCCTCATATTCAGCATTGGAAATGGAAGCTTCAGCTGCCTTCGATTGGATAACTGAAGCGGATGATTTGAATATTAGTGCAGGATTTGACGCAATATAATCCTTCAAACCTGCCACTTGGCACAACAATGCATAAGGTACACCCTTTTCGAACTTCGAGTACTGATTTTTCTTCCATTTCCACCAGCCCACAGAATGTATCTCCACCGTTTGCGTCACAAGACATCGTGGAGTATTTGAACCCATGGATGTTTTCAGATCTCTAATCTCCCAACTAGATGGATTTATTTTTGTACGATGATACCCGGACCTCTGAGGCTTTTTCTTATGGACAGCTGGAAATTGCAAGATGGTGTATGTTCCATCTTGTCCACGGAACCATTGCCTAGAGAAGAGAAAATCTTTCTTGGAACGCCACCGAGAAAGATACATAGGATCAAAAGTCCCGTAGACAACATCAAAGTATCCATCATAAGAATCTATCAGCTCTAAGTTAGCTGTCAGCATATCCCACTCATATCTCTGGTGTCGGTCGAGGTTTAAAATCACTTCAAAAGCAGTATCTGCACTTGCCTCAATAACGCCAACAGACTTGACGATAACGCCTTTTCCTCTCTCAGTGTTAGCAACATCTTGAAATATTCGAACACCATTAACTGTTCGTACACATTTCCATACATACGCCTCAACTGCATCTCCAAAATCTGTTCGAAAGTATCCCTCTGTGTTAACATCTCCACCCAAGCTTGAGGATTGACGCAAGAGCATCTCCGGGCCTTGCCCAATTTTTATAAGCCTTTTCAATCCATGTGCATAGTGCCTTACTCTAGGTCGATGACCTTCAAGATCGATCTCCTCTTCCATGTTCAGCTTGTTTCTGGCACTAGCCCCTCTTGAAAGCTCATACTCAGCCTGTTGCTTGGCTTGATCAAATGCCTCCATCCATTTCTGTGCTTCTCCGGCAGTAGCACAAGCAATTTCTCCCTTTTTGGTTTCATCCAAACGATTGTAAAACCGTAGAACATAGATATCCCCACCCTTACCTCCATGATTAACCTTTCTGCGCCCCAGCTCCTCCACCATCAGCGTAGGCCCAACAGCACCCCTCCGAATGGGTCTAATACCGGGGTTCTCATGAGGATCACGCTTATACATCTCGACATACTTTCCCCTAATGAAGAGAAACCTAAGGTGACAATACTCATGCCCTAACGTATTCACACCCAGATGATACACCCACCCAAAATACTCAAACATCCCTCCTCCTCCAGCTCCACTTCTGGAGCTGGAACTGTGCTCCGATCCATCCGACCGCTCACTCCCCACCTTATTAAACGGCAATGAGTCCATCTGCAGAAGTTAAAATGTTCTCATTTGCAGCTAAATAATCATAAACCGAAAAATTAAGTAGCAAAATTGGATAAAATAAGCAGGATTATTATGATTATCCGGAGCTAAACAATCATCTGCAAACGATAACTCCAATCAAATAAACATAATCCAATCCGACTCTACCATAACCGAACCCACATTTCAACATTCGCAGTTCAATAACAATGAAAACGATCAAAGAACACAAGTTTCAAGAGATAATTAGACGCGGCAATCATGACCAAAGTTCAATTCATATTTCCTTTTTCCCACCGAGAAAACAAAATCCAAATTTTCTGAGCAACCAAACAGAAAGTAGTATCCCTACCTGATCTCCGTGGCTTCGTCTGCCTACAGCTCAAAGGTGTTGACGATACAGAAACTGGGACAACTGGAACCACACATGCCGACTTGCCACTTTTTATACAACCGTTTTGTCTTCGTGTAATTCCCCTAAATACTAGGGGTAATTCCGTCAAAACATTCAAATATATTCTAGGGGCATTTAGATCTGAAAGGAAGAAAAACAAGGGTTTATGTGGGGCTTTGAATTTCAAGTTCCACCGAAATGGCGGTTTCGAGGAATTGAAGTTCCGATCGCTGCAACGATCAAATGCTGAAGCTTTTGTCGTCTTCCTCGTCATGCCTTCAGGGACGACTCCACAGTCTCCGCTCCTGGCCGCCCGCTGAGCTGGGGTCGCCGGCTCTCCGAGTTCTCGGCTCGCTCGCCGGATTGACTCGCCCTAGCTCGGCTTGCCGAGCGTTTTATAGTTCGGACTCCGGCGACGGGTCTGACCAGGTGGTGGAAGTTGAGTTCATGGTGGCGGGGACCGAGGCCGAGGCGGAGTCTTCCTCCGCCATTGTGTCCACGAATCCCCGGCCCGAAGATTATCTTACGGTTTGTGGGCTCTGGAACTTTCGTTTTGCTTACTGGTCTGTTTGGATTCCGAGAAAATGTTGCAATATATGAGAAAATGTTTGAACTTTTTGTTAACGTTTTAATTTTTTTTCTCCTCAATTTTCTGTGAGGCAGGTTATAGCTTTGCCATTGCCGCATAGACCACTGTTTCCGGGGTTTTACATGCCAATTTATGTGAAGGTACATGAGATTATTGATTGCTATGATCGAATTTCTTTTTGGTTCGCACTCTTGCTAAATAATGTATTGAATTTTAATGTAGGATCCTAAACTGTTAGCAGCATTGCAAGAAAGCCGAAAGCGGCAAGCTCCATATGCCGGCACTTTCCTTCTCAAGGATAAGCCGGGGACCGATCCCAGTTTGGTATCAGGTTCCGAGACAGATAAAAACATACATGAATTGAAAGGGAAGGAGTTGTTTAATCGACTACATGAAGTTGGCACACTTGCGCAGGTATTTAACTATGCGTTTGAGTTTCGTGTGTCCTTAATTTTGTCGAATAACTTGATATGCTTCGGCTAGAGCTTCCTTTTGGTTTTTGATGTTGTAGTTGGTTGGATTTTCGTATATCAGATTTCAAGCATCCAAGGAGACCAAGTGGTCCTTATTGGTCATAGGCGACTTCGAATTACAGAGATGGTGAATGGATTCCTAATACAAAGTAGTATCGTTTTTTTGAGATAAAGATTGTTAAACTGAGGAAAGTTATGATTTCTCTACAGGTTGATGAAGAACCCCTGACTGTAAAAGTTGACCATCTGAAGGCATGTTTATTTTATTTTGTCACATATATCAAATATTAATTGTTGGAGGTTCCACATTTATGATAGATTTTGTTTCGTTTTTCTTTCTCTCTTTTCCTGACTAGGTTATACTTGTTGTGCTAGGATAGCACCAAACCTTTGCCAAACCAACTCAAGCTAACCCACGGGAAATATATCAAATGGAATGCAAGAACAAAATACAAAAGACACCAAGATTTTAGCAAGGTTCCTCAACAGTCAGTGTAATTGGAGTACGTCCTGGGAGCAATAGGAGCTCACCCAAAAACCCAATACACCCAATAGCTCTCACACACCAAAGAAACAAATAGAGAAGGAAATATAATGAATAATTTCCTCTCTATGCATAGCTCAAAACTATTACAATAACAACTACTTTGGTGGATGATTACTAACCAAAGAGAGGAGCACTTTCTTCTCTTCAAAGAGGGGCTGCGGCACCCCTATTTTTTCTTCTCTGTTTTTCTGGTGCACACCTTTCTGCTCTCTGCCCTCTCTCCAAAAGTACAAGCACTTGTCAAGTTGCAAAAGAAGAAGCCGAATAAACCAATTCCATCTGCCTTCGAAAAAAGCCAAAAGAAAAAAGGAATCCTAGCCTTCCTTTTTTCCTTCCCCGAGCAAACATCATCATTGCTAACAAACATCATCATTGCTGCCTTTTACTATTAGCCGAAAGTAGATGCAATTTGGCCACATATTCAACAATACTTTATATTGCAGGATAAACCATATAACAAGGATGATGATGTCATAAAAGACATCGTTTGAGGTTATATCAACCTTAAGAGATGTTCTCAAGATTAGTTCCCTTTGGAGAGATCATGTTCAGACATACACTCAGGTTTATTCTGTTTCTTTTTATGATGTTTGGATATCTTGTGATCTTTGTTTTTGTCTGATTATTTCTTCATCACCGATTTATTTTCTTGTAACTTCTTCGAACTTGTTGTACCTTCTTCTTGGTTTTGCCGTTATTCATAAACGAGTTGATAAAGTAACTAATTCGTGATTCATTTTTTATGGAAATGATAGAGTGAGTGGTTTACATAAGTATCTTTATGTGTTGATGTATTACAATCATTCGAATTTACAATTTGTTCACGTTAAATTTTTTATTGGAATTTCGCAGCATATAGGTGACTTTAATTTTCCAAGGTTAGCAGATTTTGGAGCCGCAATATCTGGTGCAAACAAATTGCAAAGTCAAGAAGTGCTTGAAGAGCTAGATGTGAGTGTCGCTAATTTTACATATGGTACAGCGGATAGTAATTAGAGAGCTCAATCTTTATGTTACATATAAAAAAAAACTAATTCGTTTCAAGAATGAAGTATTATGGAAAATGTAAATCTTCAAATCCAGCCTTTTCATGCAAGTTTCTCATATTCCAAAAGGCTGTATAACACTTCCATTATTGCTCAGGTTTATAAGCGTTTAAAGCTCACTTTAGAACTAGTAAAGAAAGAGATAGAAATCAGCAAGATTCAGGTATGAAATGCTGATTTTCCATTGTTTTTTTTTACTTGAATTCTATTCTCCATCATAGTTTGATTGGCTTTTGAACTTTCCTTTACGGGGTAATTCTTAGGAGTCTATTGCAAAAGCAATTGAAGAGAAGATAAGTGGTGAACAGCGCCGCTACTTGTTGAATGAGCAGCTTAAAGCCATCAAAAAGGTATTTTTCTCCACCCTTATGAGATATTTTTCTATTTCATGCACTTTCAGTATTGTTTCTCTCAGTTTTTTTATTTCAACCCTGGGCCTTTATGGAATTTATTTTGCTTGACATAACGCAGGAACTGGGTTTAGAGACAGATGACAAAACAGCGCTTAACGGTTCGTTTCTTATCTTTATTTTCAATCTGTACACATCATGGTAGTGCACTCTCTGTTTTTTCTGTTCATTAGTTCTACTCTGAGTATGACTCATGAATTTATGTGGAAACTTTAGGTAATCCGTATTCTAAATAATCATTTTTTTCGTGTGTGCAAAGGTAATTGTTCCATCACTTTTCTGATATTTTGGTGCAGATAAGTTTAGGGAGAGGCTTGAACCAAACAGGGAAAACTGCCCACCTCATGTTTTGCAAGTTATAGAGGAAGAGCTTACAAAACTGCAGCTGTTGGAGGCCAGTTCAAGTGAATTTAATGTGACACGTAATTACCTAGATTGGTTGACTTCAATTCCTTGGGGAAACTACAGGTTTTTGCACTACTTACAACCTTATTGGGGCAATATTTGGGATTCTAATATATTGAACACCTATCTGCGACTGGCTGTTAAATTATTTGTTGAGAATAGATACCATTTATTAAGCACTGTTGCCACACTTGTGATTTTTATTTTTATGTGTTTTAATGTTTAGGATTTCATCTTGCCTATGTGCTCTCTTTTTTCTTTTTCTTTTCTTTTTTTTTTTTTTGGGGGGGGGGGGGGGGGGGGTGGAGAGGATTGTAGGGGTAGGAAGAAACTGATCTGGTGGAGCAAAGGATTTTTGAGAATCGCAGTACTAGCATAACTATGAAGCCCATTGGCAAATAAGACAATCTGTAATGACTAATTCATATGAGTTATTGTATTGTTACTCAAATATTTTATTGGAGAATGTGCCTCCTTTCTGAAATTTTACCTCTATATGCAATTTTCAAAGTAATGATTTCTCTATATCAATTCCTAATGCAGTGATGAGAACTTTGATGTTATTCGGGCGCAAAAAATTCTTGATGAAGATCATTATGGATTAACTGATGTAAAGGAAAGGATATTAGAATTTATTGCCGTTGGAAAACTCAGAGGAACCTCTCAAGGTTGGTATAGTTTTCAAATTTTGTGTTTGTCTATCTTGATTTGTTGGCATTGCCACACATCACTGAATTCCCCTGTTCCTCAGACTCTGATCTTGGCTCTTATTTTACATATATTATTCTATGGTTATAATAAATGCTGCAAACTGTATTATTTATCATTAGTCATTACATGAGGATTACGGATGTTTTGCTTATATATCACAGGAAAAATCATCTGTTTCTCTGGCCCACCTGGAGTGGGCAAAACCAGCATTGGTCGTTCAATTGCACGTGCCCTGAACCGTAACTTCTTCCGGTTTTCTGTGGGAGGGTTATCTGATGTTGCTGAAATTAAGGTATTTGGGAATCTCCTCAATGTGAAATATTGATAAACAGCTGTACATTATGCAACTAATCTTATGAAATTAAACTTTGAAATGTACATCCAGGGGCATCGGCGAACCTACATTGGTGCTATGCCAGGAAAGATGGTACAATGCCTTAAAAATGTGGGAACAGCTAACCCTTTAGTTCTGATTGATGAGATCGACAAGGTAATCAATGATTGTTTGACTTGTTTCATATATTGTATTTGAGACAAATCCTATTTGTAGGTCTCTTTCCTTTTGTGGAGTGAGTAGTTATTTAAAGTTCATTTTTACAAAGATTATATTTAATTCTGAGTTTCATACTACTTTTATGGCTTAATCTTCGAATTTGCGTTGTTTTGTTTCAGTTGGGAACGGGCCATGCCGGTGATCCGGCAAGTGCTTTGTTGGAGCTTCTTGATCCCGAGCAAAATGCTAATTTTCTAGACCATTATCTTGATGTTCCAATCGACCTATCAAAGGTTAGCAAAAAGATAATAATACCTTACTCGGAGCAACATGCCAATTTCCATTAACACAATGGTCAATTTCAAGCGTGTAATGTCTGT